ATAAAGCTACTCGAGGGATATCTGCACTAACCATCCTCAATTTAAAATTTAAAGGTTAGAGGAAAGTAAACATCTTCTACTGCCAACCCTTTGGCTATTCTTTAACAACGACAGGGTTGAAAAGGCGAGCATGTTAGGTGACAGTATTCGAACCCCCGACCTGCAGATTGGCGATCGAGCGCCCTAACCATTAGGCTATGCTAGGCCTAATCCCAACCCATCTAACCTAAATCGAATTGATTATTTATTACGACACAAGAGCGGAGTTTATTATTAGTTTAAACGCTCGCCTTCAGATATTTCTGTCAAGTAAGAGTCAAACACGTCTATTATAATGATACTCAGTTTTTGTCTGTCATAAAAATGCGCGCGCGCCTTACTATCTAAATGCATATACGCACACATTTCATATCAACAGATGCAAACAAAAGTCGGATGTAAATATACCTTAGCAGACATTTTGTACAACAACATAATAAAAGCTTCATCAAAGTTTTATAAATAGATCCAACGTTAGGTCTTAGAATAATATCAAAAGTTTATTTATTGATAGTATTAAGTTCGGTAAAGTTTAGCCCTAACTAAACTAAAGTAAAAAACGTACACAAGTTAGTGTTAATTTATCTCTTTATCGAATACAGTTCGTACTCAATAAACGCTTAACTAATGATAGGCCTAAGACAAATAGACTTATGAATTTCGATGCCTGTGATTAGAATTCTTTTGTATTATTCTAGAAATCCTGTATTTAAAGAAATATTGTTGCAATAAAGATATTCATTTTACCGCGCATTTTTTACTCGTATCTGCTAGTTATATTATAAATGACGAAATAAAATGTGCTAAAATTCCGTTTCCAGCAAGCAATAACGAGTTTGTTACGAATTTTATTTTTATGTACTGTACCATTACACTGATCACAGTGACTGCTCTACCCCGTTATCTATTCAACAGATATTGTTGTCATGACTACCAATCTCATCAATAAATTCAATTGTAGAAGCCAGCAAGTCGTACTGCTAACACTACAATTCAACATTTCTACGTGATTTAAAAGTAAGGGTACATGCCCAACGATGTTCAAACATATTTTAAGACTAACTGTTTTCATTTACAAATTTCAAATATATACTGTATATATATATTTGTATTGGTGGGATGCTGCCCTAATGGTTATGCGAGCTGCACTGTGAATCCCGAGGATCCGTAGCTCACGTCCTGTTACCAACAACATCAAAGAAATCGCGCTTTGCACTTTGGAGTTGTGAGTGCGTTATAAGAGTGACGGTCAAATCCCACAACTTCATTAGAGTAGCACAAGAGTTGACAGTGGGTGCTGTGAAACAGATGTCTTTCTTCTAATCAGTTCAAAGTTAGGGACAGCTACTTGGAGGGAAAATGCGTTGATAGTCCTTATGTAGCGTTGTGCAGATATCCGAAACAACCATTTTGAAAGGCTTAATAGGGAAGTCATATACCCATAAAGTTAACATAATTAAATAATCTACTATTATAGAACATTCCATACAGACTGTTTTCGTCTAACTTAGATACATGGTTATATTTTATTAGTCCACTAAATAAGAATTTACTAGTTTGTAAAGTTAATTTAAAACATTACATACTAGGCACAACTCTGTTAAGGTAGATAAAATCAGGACCGATATCTCCAGTGACGTATCATTATTGGCTCAATATTTCGCTATTACAGCTTTGTTAGGAGATATCGGTAATCTAGTTGGTAATACATTTGTTCTATCTGCCAGATAAATTCTTTGTACTGTGATAACAAAAACGTTAATAGCATGTCAGCTGTAAATCCTTTGTACTGTGACAATAAAAACGTTAATAGCCTGTCAGCTGTAAATCCTTTGTACTGTGACAATAAAAACGTTAATAGCCTGTCAGTTGTAAATCCTTTGTACTGTGGTAATAAAAACGTTAATAGCCTGTCAGCTGTAAATCATTTG